TTCAGCTCCTTTGTCCATTTTTAATTGGGTTATTTGGGGTTTTTTGGTATTGTTTTTTAAGTTATTTATAAACTTGGATATTAATCCTTTATCAGATGTATTGGCAAATGTTCTCCCATTTTGTGGGTTGTATTTTTATTTTGTTGATGGTTTTCTTTGCTGTGCAAACTTTTTAGTTTGATCTAGCCCCATTTGTTTTTCTTGTTTCCCTTGCCTAAAGTGATTTATTAGAAAAAAATATTGCTATGAGAAATGTCCAAGATTTTACTGCCTGTTTTCTTCTAGGATTTTTATGGTTTCAGGTCTAATATTTAAGTCTTTAATCCATTTTGAATTTATTTTTGTGTGTGGTGTAATTTACCACACACAAATGTGGTCTAGTTCACTTTTCTGTATGTATCTGTCCAATTTTTCCAACACTATTTATTGAACAAACTGTCTTTAGCCCACTGTATGTGTTTGCTTCCTCTGTCGAATATTAATCGTCTATAAAGATGTGGGTTTATTTCTGGCTCTCTATTCTGTTCCATTGATCTATGCATCTGTTTTTATGCCAATAACATGCTGATTTGATTACTATGGCCTTCTGTTATAGTTTGATAATTAGGTAGCATGATTGTACCAACTTGGTTCTTCTTTCTCAGGGCTGCTGTTGCTATGTGGGGCCTTTTGTGGTTCCATATAAATTTTTGAAATATTTGGTCTAGTTCTGTGAAATATGTAATTGGACTTTACAAATTGCATTGAATCTATAGGTTGCTTTGGGTAGCATGGACGAAATTAATTTAATCTTAACAGCACTCATTTTAAAAGCATTAAGAGAAAAAAGTCAAGGCCAGGGGCATGGTAGGAGTTTATGAAGTGCTTTTCATATCCATCCTCAGGACAAATTGTCAGGTAGGCAAATACTAATGTCCCTGTTTTATAGATGGAAAACATAAGCACAGAGATGTTAAGTGACTTGTCCACAGTCACACAACTGCTGAGTGACAGAGCCAACATTTTCTATATATACAGGGACACTCCCTTCAGTAAGGGCAAGCAGAGAGGAGGAACTGTTTACAGAGAGGGTGGCTGCAAAGAGCATTTCTAAAGTACTGTACCAGTTGAGAAAACCTGTCACAGCTAAGAATCAAGTGGGGAAAAATAGCAAAAAAAAAAGAACACTCGAAAGCCCTTACATTTATTCAATTCTCACAACAACCTTAATTACTAGGTATAATTACCTCCATTTTACAGGCTCAGAAACACCTGTCCAGGGGTCACAGAGAAGCATACAGACTAGTGTCAGAATTTGAACCCAAAAGAACCCTTGTTTTCCTTTCTTCCATGTTTTCCCCTGGTGGTGCATGGGGAAGAGTGCACAAAGCCACTGTTGTAGGAAGAGTTCAGAATCCATTCAATAAATGCTTCCTGAAGTCCACTTTGTGCTGTCTTTTACTTGGCTCTAGAAATACAACAGTAGACAAGACAGCCCCCACTGAGAAACAAACAGAAACATGGGCGGCATCAAGATAAGGAGGGATTAGAAGGGCAAAAGGAGTATGTGTAGGGATCTGGGGATGGAACAATGTGTGAGAGACCAGCTTTTTTCCTTCTTTTTAAGTTTATTATTTATTTTTAGAGAGAGGAAGGGCAGGAGAGAGGGAGAGAAACAGCAATGTGTGGTTACCTCTCATACGCCCCCTACTGGGAAACTGGCCCCCAGGCACGTGGCCTCACTGGGTATTGAACCGGCAACTCTTTGGTTTGCAGGCCAGCACTTAATCCATTGGGCCACATCAGCTACGGCCAGATTTTTTTCTTAAAACAGCTTTGTCTGGCCAAAGAGGATGTGTGAGGGATGTGAGGGATGAGGCTGGAGAAGCAAGCAGGAACCAGGTCTCAAATGGTAACAAAAGGCAAGAAAGTGTGCGACCCATTAGGAAGCTATGAAGTAACCTGGGAGGATGATTATGGGCCTAGGAAAGTAGTAATGGATATGTTCATTCATTCAACAAATGTTTGAGTACTTGCATGCATGAGGAACTATTCTTGATGCTAGGGACACATCAGTGAACAAGGTAAAGTCTACTTTCATGGAGCCTACAGTCTAGTCAGAGAGATAAACAACAAAATATACAGATGTGTAATATTAAGCGCTGATAAATACCATGGTGGGGGTAGGGGGAGATAGGACAAGGTGTGTTGGTTTGCTAGGGCTATCGTAACAAAATACCACAGATTAGGTGGCTTAAACAACAGAAATATACAATATTTCCTTACAGTTCTGGAGGCCAGGAGTCCAAGATCATGGTATCAGCAGGGTTGGTTTCTTCTGGGGCCTTTCTTCTTGGCTTGTAGATTGCCACTTTCTCCGTCTGTCTTTACATGATCTTCCTTTTGTGTCAGTCTCCTAACCTCCTCTTCTTATAATGATACCAATTACTGGATAGGGTCCGCACACCTCTCTTTACCGTAATTGCCTCTTTAAAGGCCCTATCTCCAGTCAAATCAACATAATTTTGAGGAAACATAACTCAGCCCATAACAAGGTGATAGAATGTAACTAAGGCTGGAGATAGAGGGAAGAGAAGGGAAGGATCTGAAATAGTTTATGTAGGATAATATAGTAGGGTCTCTCTCAGATGACACTGCATTGAGATCTGAGTGAAGAAAGGGAGCCAACCATGCAAATGTCTAGAACACTCCAGGGAGAGGGAATAGCTTATGCAAATATCCCAGGTAAGGTCAGGACTTAGGGCTATGTGGCATACAAGATAGTAAGAAGGCTAGAGTGCCTGAAGTACAGGGAAAAGAGAGATTGGAGAGGATGTCACAGGGCCTTGAGGACCATTATGATGACTGGATTTTTGATAAGGGAAGCCAGGGGAGAATTTTAAACAGAAGAGTGACATGATCTGACTTGTATTTTAAAAGCAATGCCTATATTAAGAATAAACTAGGGTAGAGGGGAAGGGCAGAAACAGGACTTGGCAATAAATCCAGGTGAGAGATAATGCTGGCACTAAAATAATAGCAATGGAAGTCTTGAGAAATTGTCAATTCTGGATATAGTTTGAAGAGAGACACAATAGGATTTACTGATGAATTAGATGTAGAAATGAAAAAAGAGAGGAATCGAGAGTAATCCCAAAGCTCTTGGCCTAAGCAACTTGGTGAATAGTAGTGCCATTTATCTAGATGGGGAAGCCTGTGGAAGAAGTACATTTAAAGAGGCATACTTGTAAGAATTGAGAGTTGATTGTGGACAATGGAAAGTTTAATACATATTATCTTAAATATCCATATAGAGATGTTGAGTACACAATTGGAAATGACAATTCAGAGGAAAAGTCCAGATTTAAGATATAAATTTAGGAGACATTGTACAAATTCTATGGACCTGCTTGAGATCACCAGGAATGAGTGTAGGAGAAAACGTCCAAGGACTAAGCCCTGAGACATTCCAGCACTTAGAGATCAGAAAAAGATAGAATCAGTGAAAATCTGAGAAGTTGGGAAGCCGGAGGAAAAATAAGAGAGTATTTGTCATGGTAGCCAAATAAAAAAATATATAACAAGGCTGGTGAGAATCTGTGTAAGAAGACTAGAAACTGGGTACTGGATCGAGCACTCAAAGGTCACTGATGATTTTGACAAGGGCTGTTTTCATGGAGCTGGAAGGGGTGAGTACCTAATCACAATTGGCTCAAGAGAGAAGGGGAAGGGAAGAATCAGAGATGAAAAGTATAAATAACTTTTTGGGGAAGTTTTGATGTAAAGGGGAGCAAAAAGTAGCATAGTTCAAAGATGTAGAAAAAATTAACAAAAGATTTTACAGCATATCTGTATGCTGATGGCAATAATTGATAGGAAAATAAAATTAACAATGCAGAAAAGAGATAAATGTAGGGGTCAATGCAAAGCTAGAGGGTTGGCCTTGGATAGGAGTAGGATGGTTCATTCTTAGTAACAGGAAGGCCTTAAGGCCACCAACACAAATGGGTTAGCAGATTTGGTGGTAGGGGTTGGGATACCAAAGATCAATTTTGATTGCTTTTACTTTTTTATAGTAACCATTAGAGTGAGGATGGGGAGGGGATATTGAAGATTAAGGCTAAAGAGATGGGGATATATTCAAGAAATAAACTAGGTAGGACAGCCCTAGCCAAGTAGCTCAGTTGGTTAGAGCATTGTCCTGATGTATGAAGGTTGCAGGTTTGAGCTTTGGTCAGGGCACCCAATGAATGCTCAGGTTTCTCTTCTGAGCTTCAGACACTCCTGTTCACTTGGATGTACCATAGTCAGAAAATTTCCCACTTCAAAATCAAACCCCTCTCTCCTCCCAGACAAGCTCCTTCACAGGCTCCTTCAAATAGGGAACTATTTGAATGAAAGACACCTCCACCATCCACTCAGTTGTTAAACCAGAAGTCTTTCTTTGTCTCCTTACTCTCATGTTTTCCTCTCTCTCACAATCAGTTAAGCTCTATCAATCCTACCTAGTTTATTTCTTTTTTTTAAAGTTTTTATTTATTGATTTTGAGAGAGGGAGAGAGAGAGAGAAACATTGATTAGTTGTTCCACTTAGTTATGCATTCATTGGTTGATTCTTGTATGTGCCCTAACTAGGGACCAGTCTTGCAACCTTGGTGTATTGGGACGATGCTCTAATCAACTGAGCTTTATATTTGTGAAATTATGATAGAAAAAAAAGAACTGAAATCCAAAGCCAACACAATTCTATAGGCTTATGATGTCCCCAGCCTATGTCACAGGCAGATGTTTCTGGACATGGAAATCAAGCCACAATATAGGGAATATCTTTTTGATATCAATATTACACTGCTCTTCCTTTCAAGGAGAGACCTTAGTCCTGGCTGGTGTGGCTCAGTTGGTTGGGTGTTGTCCCACAAACCAAAAGGTCATGGGTTCAATTCCCAGTCAGGGCACATGCTACGTGGGTTGCAGGTTCAGGACACATATGAAGGGCAACCTGGATGATGTTTCTCTCTCACATAGATATTTGTTTCCCTCTCTTCCGCCCTTCCCCTCTCTCTAAAAATTAAACAAGTATTTTTTTTTTTCAAAAGAGACCTTAATATTACCTACAGGAAGGAAATATCCTTACCTTATGTTAAAGTGCATTAACTTGTTCCTGCCTTTTCCAAACCCAACAGCCAGAGGCATGGTGTAAAGGCATTTTTTATTTAAAAATCAACACATCCTGCTTGGATAATCAGTCACTCTCCATTCCCAAGTTCCATCACCAGTGCTTGAGAGCAGAGTGTGTGGTATTTTTCTGGGTTTAAGGCATAAACTGACATGGTGTTCAAGAACTTGTCCAGTGGACAGAGCTGGTCAGGGCAACCTCTTGGCACTTGCTTCTGTGGAAGAGACATCACTCCTCAGGGCCCTGTCTCACTGTTTTCAGCTATGCCCAATGGTCTTTTGTACATGCACATATAAATAGCCAGGAAGACTCCACTACTTGGTCACCTTCCAGAATAAGAGCACTATGTCTGCTTGTAAAAGTCACTCAAGAACAGTTTGTTGAACTGACTGGGAAGACACAGTCAAGTTAGGCCCAGAGCAGGGAAGCCTAAAGGTCTAATCCTCAGGGAGTGCTCTAGCCTCTGCCCTGGATATCACACTGCTGAAGCAGCCAAGGCACCAAGAGTGCTGACAGCACAAATCACCTCCCGAGACACCATTATTAATTTTCAGAACAGGCTTCTTAGGCTATTACATCCTGGCAGAAACACTCAGGAGAAGAGGAGGGTAGTCCAATACCTAGAAGGAGTCTGTAAGAGAACTGGGATAAGGCCCAAATCCCAGCCTGCCTCTATATGCCAAGTTCTGACTTCTCCCTGGGTTACAGCCATGAGTTGCCCTAGATTATCCAAAGAGCTGATTATATCAACAGAGGTTCCACTGGGCCTGAGGAGGGAGACTTGGTCCTTAAAACCAGGTGGGTGAGATTGAGGGAAGAGTGCCTCAACCCCACCTCAGAGGTCTTACCTCCCCATGGTAATAGAGCTGCACAAACCACTCTTTAGATTCCTGGTGCTGGTAGAGTTCCATGGTCATGTCAACAGCAAATGGTGGCCATTTGTGGTCAAAAATCCCCAGTGCCATTAAGAGAGGTATGAAGGTCACATCATGAGCCGCGTAGAGGTACAGCTTTCTGTAATGCAGAAACAGTTCTCCACAAATCTTTACTCAGGACTCTGGAGGCCAGGACATTGCCTGCCTCCTTTCAGTAAGGAACAACACTTGCCTGAGAAACCAGGTGACATCTAGAAATCAGTTGAGCCTGATAGGAAACTCCTTTGAAGTAGATGGTGGGAGAAGCCTTATTCTCACTCCCATGTTTTCATGAAGCAGGATCCCTGCTGAAGTAGATATCTTGGCCTCCTCCTGCCCACTGGGTCACCCACCCACCCACTCCTTCCCTGGTGAATTTCAAATTAAAAACTGAGCATGTGTGCCTTGTTCCCTTCTTTTCTCCCTCTGGGAACCTGCTTGCTTATAGCAGGGGTTCTTCTTATTCAGCTGTGAGATGAGTTTAGCAGAGCAAGCAGTCCTCCTTGCTGGGGAAATTTGCATTCTTGGAAATTTAAGTTCATTTCAAAAGAATATTAATGAACCTGTTCGGCCCTCAAAATATTCTTCAAATGGCTTTAATCAGTAGTAAATTTGCTGTTTTAATCCATATCTGTCTGACCCCTATATCTAGCTCTTGGGAAAGAGAAAGGATTTTATTTGTTGACCTCCAAACTAGAACACTAGCACTGGGTCCTGCAGTATTCTGCAGATATAAGGCCAAGGGGGACAAAGTGGTAAAGGGCAACAGGAAATGTACTGTCATCATGAGTACTGTGATGGACAGGGATGGGCAGTCCCATAATTTGCTATTATAAACATATAAGTTCCTGAATGTTCCTGTTTCAACTCACTGTCCCCTGTCTTCCCCTTGGCAATCTTGTTAAAATACAGAGTCCAAATCAGTAGGTCAGGCCGGGGCCTGAGTAGCTAACAAGCTTCGAGGTCATGGTAAAGCTGTTCATCTTCAGACTACACTTTGCTTAGCAAGTGCCTAGGATACACAACAGTTGAAACCTGTGGTCTCTAGCCTGGGCTTTCAGGCTCTACAAAAGTGGTGATGGAGGTTCACAGGCCACTTCCAACATTTTCAAATGCCTAGTGGTGTTATACCCTTCTATATACTCAATGAAGGTATTCAAACTAAATAATCTATTAACCAATTATCTTTGTTTGGGGCTAGTATAGTAGTACTAAGTCAGTGTGATATCATAATTAGCTACTCTATTTGACAGATTTTTCTTTTTAAGATTTTATTTATTTATTTTTAGACAGGAAGGGAGGGAGAAAGAGAGGGAGAGAAACAGCAATGTCTGGTTGCCTCTCGAGTGCCCTCCAGTGGAGACCTGACCCACAACCCTGGCATGTGCCCTGAATGGGAATAGAACTGGTGACCATTTGGTTCGCAGACTGGCACTCAATCCACTGAGTCACACCAGCAAGGGTGACACATTTTCAATTATTAAAAAATAGAAAAATAAATTTAGGGTTCTTCTGGCTAAAATTAAAATTTCAAAACCTGGAAGGATGGGGGTAGCAGGAGGAAAGGTAAAAATGTGAACTTATTTGAGACTTGTGGCCTCTTATACATCTACCTTCAGTCACTGACAGCCTGGTTCTTGCTCCCCTAAAACCTGGGTTCCTTCCCTACAGCCAGAGGCCCTGTATGGCCCTCAGCTGCATGAGCTGAGCTGCTGTGTCAGGTACCTGTTTTTGCCAGGTGGAGTGGCAGGATCCACGACTTTCAGCAGGCTGCTCTCCAGGAGGTAGAGAAATGGTCCGACTGCCATCTGAAGACTTTCCCTATGGCAAGAAAACAATTAAGCACCTAGCAGTTATTCAGCACAAAGGGGATGTAGGCTGGTTCTGCCCCTGAGGAGTTCACTAGCCCAATCAGACAGAAATGAGAAAAGACAAGTCAAGCATAAGGGACAGCAACAGGCCAGAAGGAGAAAAATGGCGCTGACTCAAGTTTGAGGGTTCCCTGTGCACAAACATTTCCAACAAAAGCACCAGGATTTAGACCTGGTACAAACACAGCTGAGATGGGAGGGACTGACCAGAATAAGTCCTATAAAACTGGGTCTTTGGGAAAAAAAGAACACAGCTGGGAAGGGCAGGGTGTCATGACTTCGAGGAATTCCAAATTAGAAAAGCAATGTGAAGGAACCACATCCTAAACTATGTATGCTTCCCATGTGCCCTCTCCTTATTGGAGATTAAACCATAAGCAGCTTTCTTATTCACAGATATGATTAAATAAGAAGTTCAGTGCTTGCAGGGTTGGCACCGTGGCTCCACCACTTTCATTCTCAGGCTGGTCACCTTGTGTGGCTACTGCAACTAAAAGCATGTCATCTCACACTAGTAAACAAAGCAGTTATATGGTGGCCGCCAAGCAGCCAAAAGACCTGGTTTTGGTGCCTCTCACTTTTTATCAAAGTGGAAAAACTACCCCTCTCTCAGAATTCCCAGAACCCAATCACTGACAAAAGGGAGTGGAGTTGTCGTGACTGGCTTAGACCAATCCTTATTCATGGTGACTGAATGAATGGCCACCTTTATAAATCAAGGAAGGTTGAAGCAATGGATGAGGAGTGGGCAACCAATACTATATGCAACATACACTCTCCAGAAAATGTGCACAGGTCAAGCTAAGTTTGATAGCATTGTGAAGTTGTAATCCACTTGTGCTTGAAGAAACATCATTTGTACAAGAACCAGAAGTAACTGGAATGGAAAAGAAAATGGATCAGGTCTTGTTTAAAATGTTTTACCCCAGAAGAAAGAAAACTATGGCTGTTTAGCAAATCCAACCCACCTGCCTGTTTTTGTAAATAAAGTTTTATTGGAACATAGTTGTGTCTGATTGTTTGCATATTGTCTACGGCTGCGTTCAAGCTACATGGGCATAGATGAGTAGTTGCAACAGATAAAGCATATATTGTAATGCCTAAAATATTTACTAAATGTGCGTGTGTGTGGAGGGGAGGGTAGTCGGTGACAACTCAAGTCTGGCGGGACCACTTCATGACACTCAGTCAAATGGCGGTTCCTGATTCTGTGTAACAGTGAAAGGAAGCACTAGGTCACTGGTTCCAGCTCCAGAAGTGTAAGAACCTCAGGCAGAGCCCACTCGGTAAGCCAGCAGAATGGAGTGATTTCTGCCAATGCACACATAGAGAGGCCAGCTGTAAGGTGTAAGTGGTCTGATGAACCCCCTGCCCCACACATTGCAAGGCCTGACCCAGCTGACTTCATGCCAGCAGCTGAAGAGGCCCCTCACCTGTCTCTACTTTGCACATATAAGGCCGTGTCCACGGCTCTCTGTTCAATGTTCCAAGCAAATCTCTTCAGCATGGGGCAGCTCAGGAGGCCATGCACCTGAAAGAGCCACAGGTACAGTTTTAGAAAGAAATGCTTCTCATTCACTGAGCCTGGCAGCTGATCAGCTTTCAAAGGACCTTCAGGGGCCTGGGGAGGGCTTTCTAAAAAAGCAGTCTGTCAAGGCACTTCAGAAGTTATTCCTAGAGATTTGAAGGCCTAAAAAAAAATTGTTTATATTCCCTTTCTGATGGCTTCCCCATGTACTTCAAAATGGAAAACATCTGTATTTTTTTAAACTGTAAAAGGGCCCTAGCTGGCATTGCTCAGTGGATTGAACACCGGCCTGTGAACCAAAAGGTCGCCGGTTCAATTCCCAGTCAGGGCACATGCATGAGTTGCGGGCCCGTCCCCAGTTGGGGGCATATGAGTCAGCCGATGGATGTCTCTCTCACACAGCAAAGTTTCTCTCCCTCTCTTTCTCTCTCCAGTCCCCTCTCTCTAAAAATAAATAAATAAAATCTTTAAACTATAAAAGAAAAAAATGAATAAAATACAACTCAAGTAATTCATAACCTTCATTTTCACCAAAATAATTTCCAGAAAATGTGGCACATAAATATGTCATATAAACTCCTGTTTTACAACCTTAAACCTATCTTACACATAAGCACCATAAGCACAAGGTGCACTTCTGCCTTCAGGGCATACTTTTATCTTCACTGGAGAAGGGAGGATCCAGGCTATATGGTCTTTGGGTGTCTAAATTTTGAATCTAGAGAAGCATTTCCCATCATGGAATCTTCAGTATTATATGTTTAGAAGTCCTATGGTCAAATAAGTTTGGGAAAAACAGACAAAGATTAACCAGATTTCTTCGTTATAGCCTTCTCAGATTCTTTAACATGCTGACATGCATATACACTCTTCAAAAACTGATTCCATATACAGGGATTGCAAAATTTTTAGACAACAATCCTTCCCATCCTACCACCCACCCCACTCCTACCTATTCATAACACACACACTCACATCACTGGTATTCTGGGGAACAGACTCTAGGAAACTCTGATCTAGAATTAAATGTCTGTGCTTCTGAATGAGGAGTCCTTCTTGATTGTTCCCTATCCCTCAGAGCTGCCTCCAAACCAGAAGGCCTCCACCCACTTCTCTCTACTCAGAGGCCAGGCCACTCAGGTACCTATGCCAGGCTCTCCCATCCTCAGGGCCCAAAGACGACAGTCATCCCACCTGCTCAGCAGCCATATTGTCAAAGAGGATGAGGAAGTCCACTTCATCACTATTGTCAATGCCCAGCCCCTCCTTCACCTTTTTCAAATCCTCTGAGATTCCTGGCTGCAAAGACGCAGCCTGTCTCCGGCTTCTGTCAAAAAAAAAAAAGAAAAAGTATTTCCTTACATTGTATAGTGATTAAGTTTACAAAGTATATCTCATTCATCATTTGGAATCTCAATTAATCCTCAGTAACAACTCATAGGGATTAGTTGTTGTTATTCCCATTTTACAGATGAGTAAGCTAAGACTTTATGAGGTCAAAAATGACTTGTGAAAGTTAACAAGTACCAGGGCTAGAATAAAAGCCTGGATTTTCCAAATCCCACTCTAGCATTTTCTATGTCAAAATGATGCAAGCATAGCATAGGTCTGCTTGAAAACAGCATTCATTTTCTCCTGTGGAACACATACTTTATCCTCTTAGTATATGGCCCAGAAATACCTGAACAAAGAAAAGTGCCATCAGCCCAAACCAACCTATCTATATGGCAGGCAGCATGTTGGTGAGAGAAAGGGAATCTGTTTTCTGCTTGCCTATCTGGATTTGCAGTTTGATGACTGGCTCAATCATCTTTTATTTAACCTGTCAGTTTCTTTATCTACTCCATCTGAAGAGGGCTTAAAATAATCAAGAGAATAATGTTCTGGAAATAGCAAAGCCCCACTCATGGCTATATGTACCATCTCTCTAGCCCAGCACATGGCCTTTTCCAGGCTTCCTGGCCCTTCACTATGAGTCTACCACTGCAAGCAAGAGCTTCTTCACTTCCTGGACAGTGAGGTCAGACCTGAGTGTAATGCCATCCCTCCCATCCGTCATCCACCAGCACAGGAAGCCCAAGCAGGCCCTCAGTTCAGGCAGAGTCCTCCCACCAAAAGTAGTGAAAGCCTGTCTATCCCCCAGTGTTGAGCAAGAACCCAGGGCAGTTACCTTGTTCTTTCCCGCAGTCTCCAGCAGTTCTGGTAGTTGGGGTACAAGACTTCAGAGCTTGCGTCATCAGTGTGGATGACAATGGGTCCTGGAAGTAAGTTGGGAAGCACAGGCTTTAGCTTGTTCTTCACAGTATATCCTCCCCCTCCTCCTCATTGTCTTTACAGATGGAGCTTCTCAAGGAGGCAAATCATCAAGGTTACTCCTTAAGGACAGTGAATGACTTCAACATGCCTTTGCCTTGCCAACAGGAGTTCTCCTATGGTCTGACTAATGGAGAAAGCAAGTAGCAGCCTTGTTCTGTCTGGCACAACTCCTTCTAGTGGGTCACATATAGACTAGAGCAGGTACATCTAAATCAGACTGGCACTTCCCTGACCTATTCCAAAAAACCTGACCTCCAGGCACTACCAGCACTTGGGCTTTCTAATAAATGAGCCATCCCTGACTTTACTAGAATAGGTGACTTTCTTGCTTCCCAGTCAATCCTATATGGTGACTTATGACCTGATACTCTAAGAAAAGGTGACCACAAGGCCACAAATCCTTCCTGCCCAAAATGAAAGCCAGCCTTCCAGATGAACTGCCAGGAACCAGAGATTAGACTACAAAAAATATTTCTTATATACCTTGCAGCATCTTCCTACTGTTCAGAACTCACAAGTACCTTTGCTTCCTCTCATCGATGCTGAATGAAGGCACACTAACACCTCCCCATGCTTGGCTCTGTGCCAGAGATGGTAGGGGCCTGTGGCAGATCCCCTACCTACATAGCTCAAGCCTGACCTTCTCTGATGGTAAAAGAAAGAGCTCCCATCAGCAGTTCTTTGGAATTTGCGGAGGCCAATCTGTGGAGTCATTAGCTCCAAAGAGCTATTAGTTCCGAATTATTGATAGTCAATCCCCTAGGACTTTAAAGTAGTCTGTGGTAACTTGACTAGACTATCGGATTTCAGACACACTTTGTTGGTCAAATGATCAGAGACGCCCTCTCCAGATGTGCATATTCTCTGAGAAGCATGAAAGGGAAGAGTATGGATTCTGAAACCAAACTGCCAGGGTTTCACCATCCAAGCTCCACCATTTACCAACTTTGTGTCCCTGGGAAAGTTGCTTAGCTTCTTTGTGCCTTAGTTCTCTTATCTGTAAATTGTTACCAACATCACAGGGTTATTACAAGAATTAAGCAAGTTCATATATGCAAAGCTCTTAGAATAATGTTTGGTGCACAGTAAGCCCTTTAAATGTTAGAATAGTAGTAACTTAAACCTTTAATATAACACATGATAATTCCAATCTTGTGTCTGATATTGGTACTTGGATAGTGGACCTAAAATTTATGATAAAAAAGATTCCTCTGAGTTGGCACACAAGTATATGCTGAATGAATGACTGACCATACGGTAAAGACCAACAACCTTTAGCTTCTCTCACAGCCTCATTCTCTAAAGCCTACACATAATACTCTGGGATTTCTCTAAGCTTGTACACCTGAAGTGACATTCCAAAGTTGCACAACTTCTATTAATAGTAACACCTTGAGGGGTTCTTTGGTCTATTCATGCTCCTTGATATTGGTTATTGGAGTCCCAAAGACATCTGGGTCCCATGCAGGGTGCTGCTACCTAAGCAGCCACACTAGAGGCTGAGGATGACACCATTTCTTTCCTTGCCAAAAACCTGGGGAAGCTGATGCCTGAGTCTGAGACCTGCCTGCAGATCAGTATACCACCAAGAAACATCTTTCCTACTTCATTCATACTTTTGGTGTTTATGAGTAGAGGACATTTGCCTTTTAGAAGCTGAGCAAGTGAAGTTCTCAGAAGGCCAGGCATTGTGGATTGCTTCTAAGCTCAAGGGCTAGTGGGAAGTAAGGGGCAGCCCATTCTGTCTGCTATGTGTTAATGTAGACACATCCTTTTTGGGGCAAACAGCCAACTTCAGTCAGAATCGCAGCACTACCCAACACAGCTGGGAGCAGGGCAGCCTCCTCTGGCTGGAGGTTTCTACCATTTACATATTTTTTAAAAAGCCTGATGGACATGTTAGAACTACTTGAGATACTGCCAAAGAAGCTCTGCAAAATAACATGAACCAATTTACAGCACCAATTTAGTATTTTATTTTTTACTTCTTGCCACTTCTTTAGAAATTCTTATTTACTTCTTTATTGGGGGTGACATTGGTTAATAAAATTATATAGCCTTCAGGTATACAACCCTACAATACTTCATCTGTACATTGTATGGTATGTTTACTACACCAAGTCAAGTCTTCTTCCATCACCATTTATCCCCTCTGTACCTTCTTCAACCTCCCCCACACCTCTCCCTCTGGCAATCACCATATTGCTGTCTGTGTCCGTGAGTTTTTTTCTTTGCTTAATTCCTTCTTCCTTCCCACCCAGCCCCCAACACCCTCCCGACCAACAGCAGAGTATGTCTCCACTTCCTTAATTTGTTAGATTCCACTTACATTGTACTTGTCTTTCTCTGTCTTATTTCACTTAGCATAATAATCTTCAGGTATTGCAAAAGGTAAGATTTCCTTCTTTTTTTACAGCTGAGTAGTATTCCATTGTGTAAATGTACCATGGAATTTTATCCACTCATTTGCTGATGGGTGCTTGGACTGCTGCCAAATCTTGGCTATTTTAAATAATGTTGTAATGAAAATAGGGCTACATATATTCTTTCCAATTAGTATTTAGGGTTTCTTTGGATATATTCACAGAAGTGGAATTGCTGGGTCATAAGGGTCATAAGGTAGTTCCACTTTTAATTTTCTGAGGTAAATCCATACTGCTTTCCCCAGTGGCTGCACCAGTCTACATTCCCACCAACAATGCATGAAGGGCCCCTTTTCTCTGCATCCTCACCAACACTCGTTTGTTGATTTATTGATGATAGCCATTCTGACAGGTGTAAGGTGATATCTCATTGTGGATTTAATTTGCTTTTCTCTAATTAGTGATGTTGAGCACACTGTCATATGTCCATTGGCCATCTGTATGTACTCATTAGAGAAGTATCTATTCAGGTCCTTTGCCTATTTCCTAATTGGATTGTTTTGGTGTTGCATTTTATCGATTACTGATAAACTTTGAATATTAAGTCATCAGATGTATCAGTGAATATGTTCTCCCAGGCAGTGTATTATCTTTTAATTTTGTTGGATTTTTTTGCTGTGCAAAAACGTTTTAGTTTAATGTAGTCCCATTTGTTTTTCGTTTCCCTTGCTCGAAATATTGGAAAAAATATTACTATGAGAAACATCTGAGATTTTACTGCCTATGGTTTCTTCTAGGGTTTTTATGGGTTCAAGTCTAATATTTATGTCTTTAATTCATTTTGAGTTTATTCTTGTGTATGGTGTGAGAAGGCAGTCTAGTTTCATTTTTAAAAAATGTATGTCCCTTTTCCCCAACACCATACATAGAGCTATCTTTACCCCATTGTATGTTTTTGCCTCCTTTGTCAAATATTAATTGACTATAAATGTGTGGGTTTATTTCTGAGCTATTCTGTTCCATTGATCTATATGTCTGTTGTTATGCCAGTACCATGCTGTTTTGATTACTTTGGCCTTGTAATATAGTTTCATACCAGGTAGTGTGATTCCAACTTTGGTCTTCTTTCTCAAGATTGCTGTTGTTATATGGGGCCTTTTGTGGTTCCACATAAAGTTGGACATATTCTAATTTTGTGAAATATGCCATTGATATCTTGATAGGAATTCTCTTGAATCTACTGTTTGCTTGGGTAGTATGGATATTTTAATAATGTTAATTTTTCCTTTCTATGAACATTTGTACATTCTTCAATCTCTATCTTCAGTGTCTTATAATATCCTGAGTACAGGTCTTTTACTCCCTTGGATAAATTTATTCTTAGGTATTTATATTTTTGAAACAACCGTGAATGCAATTGTATTCTCAGTTCCCTGTTCTGATAGTTCATTATTGGTGTATAAAAATGCAACTGATTTCTGGGCATTTATTTGTGTCCTGCTACTTTACTGAATTCATTTATCAGTTCTAGTAGGGTTTTTTTGTTTTTTTTAATGAATCGTTAGGGTTCTCTAGATACAGTATCATGTCATCTGCAAATAATGACAGCTTTATTTCTTCTTATCTGATTGCTGTGGCTGGGACTTTCATTAGTATTCCCACCTTGCTGAGAGTTTTTATCATATATGGGCCCTTGATTTATTCAAATGCTTTGTCTGCATATATTGATATGATCATGTGATTTTTATCCTTTGTTGATGCAGTGTATCATGTTTATTGATTTGTAGATATTTTACCAATCTTCCATCCCTAGAATAAATCCCACTTGATCATGGTGTATGATCTTTTTGATGCATTGCTGGATCCAATTTGCTAATATTCTGTTGAGGATTTTAGCATCTGTGTTCATATGGGATACTGGCATATAATTTTCTTTCTTTGTAGTGTTTTTATCTGGTTTGGCATTAAGATGTTAGTCTTGCAAAATAAGATTGGGAGTGTTACCTCTTCTTGAAATTTTTGAAATAGGTTGAGAAGGGTAGGTGTTTGTTCTTTGAACATTTGATATAATTTTCCTGTGAAGCCATCTGGTCCAGGACTTTTGTTTGTAGGAAGGGTTTTGTTTGTCTGTTTGTTTGTTTTAAATTACTGCTTCAATTTCACGTTGAAATGGAAGTGGAATTGAAATGGACAGTTTGAATCTGTCTATTCAGGTTCTCTGATTCTTCCTGATTCAGTTTTAGATAATTGTATGTTGCTAGGAATTTATCCATTTCATCTAGATTGTCGAATTTTTTGGCATATAGTTGTTCTTAATGTTTCTTACAATCCTTTGCATTTCTTTGCTGTCAGGTGTTAAATCTTCTCTTTCATTTCTGATTTTATTGATCTAGGGCCTTTTTTTCCCCCTCGAATTTAGTTAAAGGTTTGTTGATCTTTATCTTTTAAAGACCCAGCTCTTGGTCTCATTGATCTTTTTCTTTTTAACTCTATTTCATTTATATCTGCTCTGATCTTTATTACATCCTTCTATTCACTCTGGGCTTTGTTTATTGCTCTTTTTCCAGTTCCTTTAAATA